GCGTTCGTGACCGATGGTGGATCATCAAAAATTTGGACGAAACGAAAGCACAATCTTTCACGTGACTGGTGGATGACCGTTTCTGCTGAGTTGTGATTCGACAGGAAATATATCTTTCATTTTTATCCGTTGGGTAGAATATAAGGAGTGACATCGGACTGGAATAATTTCACAACTCCACCGGTAGGCCAAGGAAATGAGGTTGTATTCAGCAGCAAATATTAAGCATTGGTATCTACGTCAAAAATTGCATATTCGATATTTGACGGCAGTCTCGTGCGTTAGCGACGAGCAACAGAATTTTGAGTTTGATGTTTCACACACTATTTCATCTAATAGGTGTACCCAGTCACTCAGTCGCGATAGTGTGCATAATCTAACTCTTCAGTTTAGCCCTCAAAGAAACTGAGTGATAAATTTTTGAATCGTTCTTGTGATGACGTGAATTTTGCGAGTGGCACACTGAAAAATACGTCATTTCATAACCGCCGCCATTCAGCAACACTTTCGGCTATTATGGACTAGGGAAACAGCACATCGCTGCCTTTACCCTATAATTTGACCTTATGAATTCTTCCTTTGCCCTTTTTCAGGGAATGAAAAACAATGGTTGAATATCTACCACGTCCGACATGCTGAGTTTCAGTGTAACTCGTGATAACAGAACCCATCAGGCCGGTCTCTGCGGTGTTTTATTCAAACCAATGAGCGTACGCAAAAAAATTTTCATACAAAGATTTTCTTAAAAAAAACCAAATTTACGTGAAAGTATAAAAAACGAACAACCTTTCTTTTACGAGAAAGTTGCAATTACTGGTTTTCGTCGTTCTCAGTTGATGACCACGTAGCAAACAGCGCAGGTTTTGGGCTTTTTGTGACGATGCTAAAGCTCAGTTGTCAACACGCAGATGGTCACACTCATTGGCCTCCGTTCCTCACTGTCATTCACAGTTCATTTATATGACTTTAAAGCAGCGATGGAATCGAATGGGCCAGTTGCACTTTTCAGAACACTGCCTCAATGAGTTCGTATAATTTTCAGAGTTTGTTTGGATGTTTGTCTTCCAACCGAGGCACCTTGCAGAACTGAAACTTGAATGATGACATAAATTGTTTCATGCCGGCTCAAAAGTCATGATAATCATTATCAGATTTATCAGCTTGTGAACGCAACAGATATTGCTACCGTATTACTCAGCTGTATAATACGGGGAAAAGAGAACCAAAAAATTAATACGAAAATCATCGAAAGCATACTGATGAGAAAGTGAATGATTTGTCATGCAGAAATTTGTCCCTTAATATTGATTTCAATCCCACTCTGTCGCTATCATGCTTGGTCATTCAAAAGTACATTACGCGAATAAATAGCCCGTGGCTTTTATGTAGCCCGCGGTAAACTTATTGTCCGACAGCATTAATTATATGAATCCATGTCAGCACGCATTTATAGAAAGCCATGTAAATTGTTCAAGAAAGTTCATATATAAATACAGTTTGTTTTGTACTCAGAGTGACTTCGCACTGGGCACGGCTACTTCCGGAAAATCACGTCATATTTCGAATGGGAGAGAGAAAATTAGATTTTGTAACTATCGAGGTGTTCGTCTCCAGTACAGTTGATTAGTTAGTGACTGCGTTTCTGGCGTCATCCTTTCGACATGAGGTTCATGACGTCATCATCAGACTGTAATCATATTTATAATGCCGTCAGTTGGGAGTACCATCTTCCAATTATTGTTCTGAAATCGACTTCTAATCTACGTGGCCGCATAAGCATTTCGACCCTCGCTTCTTCTCAACGATACAAATGGATCTACTTTGGAAGGAGGAAAGTCGAATGTCAAATGATTCACTCAATACTCCTGGTGGAGTGAGAGCGAACGTTTCTCACAGTATCATAATCAAGTTATAGGTTATTTAAACCATTTCGTCTAGTTCAAGTTTGCCTCGAGTCGTGCGAGCCACGCGTGCAGTGTCATTCATAATGAAACGGCTACGCAGTTGAACTGTTGGAGACCGTCACTGCTTTCTCAGATAGAAAAAAACGGTGAACGTTAACAGCCACCAGAAGGCGATTAAGTCTTAGAGTTTTGGGTAATGGTAGCTGACATGTACAAGTTCACAAAGAGACTTTCTGCAAAAAAAACTATTTCTCATCTTTGTCATGCAGCAAAGATTCTAAAATGAGTTTGATGATGATGATGATGATGATGATGATGATGATGATGATGATGATGATGGTGATGATGGTGGTGATGATTATGATAATGATAATTCGAGTAGCACATTAATAGGATGTTAGTGGTCAAGATGGCGACTGATGATGCTTGCAGATCTGACGTAATCGCTCCAGCTAGCATGTCAGTAGTTTAGCGCGATGTGCGAGGAATAGAAATATATGAATAACGGCAAAGCTATTTGCTCGAATGAGCGTTGACAGCGGCTTACAGGCTCAGTAAGTAAGATCATTCATCTGGCATTGTTAAATTGCTTATTTTCATGGTTTGATGTGAAATGAAGGATCGCTGATTTAATTTCGAATGCTTGAACC